GACTAGTCTACAGGTATCGACCGTGTGAGTCTTTTTTCCCTTGATCGCATGATTCCAGTGCATTTTCAAAATGTTGCTTATATAGATATAAATATGGTCGATGATATGATGAAGTTTGAGGATTATGTATTGATTACTTCAACAGATTTTGACTCCAATCGATTGAGGCGAAGAGATTTTTTTTTTTTTTTTTTTTGAAATGTGTTGTTGTTTGTTGAAGTGTGGATTGTTCATCTTTAATAAGGTATTGACAATCTATTACACTCTTTGATAGACACATTTTGGCTAATGTTCTGATTAAATGTGTGTATTTGACATTGTGATGGATGATGAGTTTTGATATGTTGGATGTGTAGAGTGATGTGTATGGGTTCAAGGATTGAGTTGGAGGTATTTGGTTTTGGTTGTTAATTGGACGTCGAATGTAAACCATGTCGTAGGATAGAAATTGTTACGATACATGTTACATTTAGTGTGTAATGTTAATCAACATACACCATTTAGTAGATGACATTTTTGTGTTTGTTCAGTTGTATATGTGCTTGAATGTGTATCGTGTCTTTATTGTAATCAGTGTTTACATACATGTCACAGTATCTTACGCAAAATTATTGAGGATTTAGGTTTGTGATTGAATATGGAATGAATCCTATCGCTCGATGTTGAAGTTATGCTGGGTTGGGGGTGATGGTGGTTCAATACATGGGTTGGGTTAGGATGTTACATGTTATATTTAGGAGGTTACATTATTCATAATTCAATGATGAAGTATTAGAATGTCACATTAGGTTTAGGATGAGAAGCATATGAGAATGTCACAATGGATTTGGGATGCTACATTTAAGTTGGGCTTGGGATGAGAAACATACGAGAATGTCATGTTGGGTTTGGAAATATCACATTGGGTTTGGGATGTTACATGTTACATTTATGTTTTGAATTTTAAATTTCCAACCATATAGATATGATCACAATCTATGATAACATTAGATTTCTCATATATGGTATTGTCATTAATTAAGTTATTTTAAATTTCAGAAGCATAAGATAATATCACGTTGGGTTTGAGAATGTCACATTGGGTTTGGAATGTTACATGTTACATTTATATTTTGAATTTCGAATTTCCAACAATATGGTATTGACATTAATTAAGTTATTTTGAATTTCAAATTTCTAACCATATAGATATGATCACAATCTATGATAATATTAAATTTCTCTTATATGGTATTACCATTAATTAAATTATTTTAAATTTCAAATTTTTAACCATATAGATATAATCGCAATCTATGGTAACATTAGATTTTTCATATATGTGTTATTATTATTAATCAGGTTATTAATTACTCTTAAGATTGGGAGTAGATGTGTTCACAAGAAAACTACAGAACCTATTGGATTATAATTTTTTTCATAGAATCATATCTTATATAAGTCTTCCAAATAAAATTACAAATAGTTTACTCAAATTACATTTCATTTTTTTTTTATTTCTCCCATCAAATCCGTCAAATAAAAGAGACAAAAGTATGCATGTGGTGCATTCAATTTTGGAAAAATTACACATTGGTGAACTTTTTACAAAATATTTATAAATTAAAAATATTAATATTAATATTTATTAAAAAAATTATTAATTTAAATTTATTTTCTTTTTAAAAAAGATACACTGATGTGTAATTTTCACGACTCCCACGTAACCATGGCCACGAGTATATCCTCAAAGAGAAATAGCAAAATAGCAAATCAGTAGAATAATAGAAAATTAATTACACTATAAGGCATGTTTGATTGGGTGGATTAGAGTATGGGATTAGGATTATTAATCCGTGGGCCCAATTATCTCATGTTTGTTTTAACATTTTGGTTTAGGATTATTAATCCAATGGATAATTAATCCAACAAATTTGTAGGATTATTAGTAATGGGATAGGGGTGGGATTATTAATCCAATGGATATTAATCTAATTGGATAGTGAATCCTACACTAATTTAATAGGATTATTAATACTTCACTATTAGTCTTTTGAATCAAACGTGAAGTATTTTGTAGTACAATTTTGGCACATATGATGACTTGCACACCACGCACAAAAAAATTTCACCACTATAATACAAAAATAAAAATATTTTTCCACTACACCACTAAAATGCAATTTTTCCTGTTCTCAAAGTGTGATTTTATTTATTCTCCTTAAAATCAGTCAAAATAACACTCTAATTAGTTTTCTTAACTAAGATTCATGAGCAATGTAACAACGATAGTTTAGTTTAACGTTGCATTAGAGATATAACAAAGGGGAAAATTATTTAGTGCTCCTATAGCACCACGCCATCCATCTCCAGTGGTGATTAGGGATGGCAACGGGTCGGGGCAGGGCCGGGGATTGCCCTCCCGGTTCCCGATCCCCGAAAGTATGGAATTCCCCGTCCCCGATCCCCAACAGGGAACCCCTCACTCCCCCCACACCCGTCTCCTAACGAGGATCGGATTTCTCCAACCCCGAAAAATTCCCGACGGTGACAGAGTTATAAAGCTGAGTCGTCGTCGTCGTCATCATGACACACACACACAGCTGCGGATCTGAGATCTAAGTTGTTATTATCATCATCATCATCATCTCGCGCGCGCGCGCACACACACACACACATCTGCAGATCTGAGATCTGAGTCGCCATCATCATCATCATCATCATCATCATCATCACACACACACACAAGGAGAGAAGAGAGGTCTCATTTGGTGACGGGTGTTGAGCTTGAAAGAGAAGATGGAGACTTTGGTTGCGGTGGAGCGACTAGCGAAGGAGCTGTCAAAGCTCTGGTGCAACGAGCTTGAGAGAGAAGATGGAGACTGGTTGCGCCGCTGGTATCAAGGCGCAGTGCGGCCATGGCGGCGAAGAGATGAGAGACAGAGAGCGGCGGAGGAAGAGGGAATAGATCTGAGATGAAAGAGGAGAGAGATCTGAAATGAGAGAGAGGAAATGAAGTGTGTTTTGGGATTGCTAGATCAGAGATAAGAGAGAGAGAGAGAGAGAGAGAGAGAGAGATGAGTATATATTATATATAGTGGGTTGGTGAGTCAGAGAGGACTGGGAGGCGGGGCAGAAACAGGACGGGGAAGGAGGTCGGGGTCGGGGTCGGGCTGGGGCCGGGGTCGAGGCGAGGCGGGGCAGAAGAACTTATCACCGTCCCCAGCCCGAAAATGATCGAGAATTTTTTTTTGAATACCGTCCCCGACCCGTCAGAGATATTTTTCAGGAAAATCCCGTGTTAATCCAGGTCGGGCCGGGTTTAAATTGCTATCACTGGTGATGCTGGTCAATCATAAAATGTCATAAAAGATTAGGCAAGTTTGAAAATTAATTATTTTAATTAATTTTTTATAAAGACATATATTAAAAAATTAAAAAAAATTATATAATAATTTATAATGATTTTTTAATACAAACATTTCTTCCCAAACATATCAATGTCTACCGCAGCAAAATAACCTCCTGGAACAGAAATTTCTTGGTTAAATGAGCGTTAACAGCTTGAACATTAAGGCTCCGTTTGGTAGTCTCTTAAATTATAATTTCATCCATTGATTTAGTGTATTATTTATTTTGAACTTTTAAATCATAATTCTATACCCATTTCTCAAAACTCAATTCAAACATAATCATTACTTTTCAAAACTCATAACCAAACACATAATTCAAATCTCTTTTCAAAACTCAATTCAAATCAATATTTTAATTTTTTAAATATTTAAAAATATTTTAATTTTTTTAAGATTTTAAATATTTTAATATTTAAATATGTTACGATTTTTTTAATTTTTTAATTTTTTTAATATTTTTAAATATTTTAATTTCAAAATATTATGATTTAAATTTTTAAAATTTTAAAATATTTTATAAAAATAAATTCAAACTCTATTTCATAAAAATATTTTTAAATATTTTTGTTATGTATTTGGTTACAATTTGAGTGTAGAGTTGTGAAAGTAGTATGTAGTTTCGAGTTATGTGTTTGGTTACGAGTTTTAATAATAATTTCTTAATTGAGTTTTGTTTTATGTGTTTGGTTACGATTGAAATGTAGAGTTGTTTTTAAATTTAAAATATTAACATTTTAAATTATTTAAATTTTTTGAATATTTAAATTATTTAAATTTTTACGATTTAAATTTTTTGAATATTTATTTTAATTTTTTACTTATTAAATTTTTTTAGATTATTTAAATTATTTAAATATTTATGATTTAAATTTTTTGAATATTTATTTTGAAAAAAAATTATTTCCTTTGTAGTATTTTCAATTAAAAAATTGATTAATATTATTTTCTGTTAATAATAAAAAAAATTAATTGAATTTTAAAAAGAATTTAGTTTTGAATGTTGATCAGAATTTTCAATAATGTGAAAATAATGTGTTTTGTTATGAGTTATAACAATTTGAATTAAGTTTTGAAAATTCTTTCCAAAACTCATAACCAAACAAATTTTCTTACTTCACATGTCAAGTCAAACTTTCAAAACTCAATTTTACACTCAATTCAACACTTTATTCAAAAACTATTGTCAAACAAATTTTCTACACCAAATCATAATTTCACAACTCACAAATTCAAAATACAACTAATACTCTCAAATTATATTTACAAAACTCTACCAAACACAACCTAAAATATTCAAATTAAATTTCAAACTCCCGCCTAAAACTCAATCCAACTTTTAAGGTTTGAAATTTTTTAATTTCGAAGATAATACAAATATTGCAATGACAAGTAACATGATAACGTAATATAATATAATAATAATAATAATAATATTTACCTCTTCTGTCTAAATTTTACGTATTAAAAAAAATCACAAATACGCAATTTATACTTATCTCGTGATTTAAATTGTTAATCTCACATTATATAAATTGAGAAAAACATGCATGTAAAATCTAGAATTAGTATAAATAATCATATGATCAAATCACATATATATTACGATAAATAAATAATTTATTTTTAAAAACATATATGCTACATAAATAAAAATAATTTTCAAAAAAATTTCATCTTTAGTAAATTGGAAACTAAAAGTAAAAGAGTAATTGCTGCACAAAATTAACAAAAGCAAGTTCATTATCACAAATTCCCAAATTTCCATATTTCTGAATAAATTATTTCAAGAGACCATGGCATTTGCTTCATGTTCCTCTTGCTCTCCTGTCGGCACTTCATTGAACATGTAATGGCTCTGATATTCTATCAAGTATTGCGTCGATCTCTTCACATCCCAAAAAAGTTCATAAACTCGACTTATGTCCTCCATTTCCACAAGCTTTCCCTTCCGCTTCTGACAAGCCAATGCAGCGGATGTAATTAGGTGGATGGCATATCTCAAGGACGTATCTACCCCAATCTTCGTCAACAAAACTTTTCCGTCTTCAGACATCTCCACGTCTTCCTCTTGGCATCTGATTTCCAGAATTTTGCAAATTTCTTCTTCTGTGTATGGCTGTGTTGATATAATGAGCAGGCAATCAAGGAAATCGATTGGAATCCCATGGGGGGATTTGTAGTTTGTACCTCGGATTGTAGTGATCCCCCTGTTGGTGGCAACGACCAATATTGGTGCCATCTCATTTTCAAAAGCACGATTTAGAAAAGAAAAACACTCAATGTCAAGCATGTGGACTTCATCAATGAAGAGGACGCCAGGCACAATCTCTGCCTTCCCTTCCTCCCTCCATTCTGCAACTTTTGTGTCAATTTGCTCCCTCACTTCAGCGCTAGTTTCTCCAGTATCACCAGTGAAGAGAGCCAGAAATCCCTGTGTTCTGAAATTGAAAATTGATACAAATAAATTTATAAAGAAGAAAGGAGGGCCATTTTTACCCCTCACAAGTATGAAGCAAAGGATTTCTTTTTTTCTTTTTCTTTTGATACGTATTGAGCAAAGGAAAAATAATCAGGGCAGGATAACTTGCGTAATGTATCAGTAAAAAAATGAGATCTTTCCTACCAGCTAGCATGGATCTGTGTGGAAGAGAGATTCTTGAATGTTTTTTATGGTAAATAGTTGCAATACGATGATTAAACAATTGTATAAGAATAACCACAACATTGAACAAAAGACTTTTGGTGATAACCATTGGCTTTCAGCTCCCTAACTCAATTGAAACTTGTTTCAAGGAATGTTAGTTTAACAAGTATACAGAGATTTTAGTCTCCCAATCTGAGCATTCTGTGCAGTATGAGGCTGCTTCTATCTTTTTCTATTTTTTATTTTGTTTTATTTTATTAATACTGTATAATGCTTCTTTGAACCCCCCTTCCATCAACCAGATAACTTTCCGCACAATTTCTGACTTAACTAAAACACTTAGTAGGGGGGGTATGCAGACCTCAACATCATTGGTGTACCTCCAAAAATTCATTAGTATCAGATGCTTTGGTCAAAGTTACTAATCTAGGTTGCACAACTAAATAAGAACATGGAGCATAAACACTTTCAACCACATCTCTGCACATGCTAGTGTACAATTAGTTTTGACAACATGTATATTAGAGGAGAGCTCATAGCAAGTCACCACAATTACAGCCATTCTCATATAGAGTGTTCTATCACTAATACTGACCGTCCATAGCCTCCTAAAATCCGTTGTTGTTTCCTTTATTTCTTCAAGTTCATCATGCTGTTGTTTTCTGTCATTAAACATTTAGAATCCTAACCACAAGCAAGTAAACTAGAGAAGTGTAAAAACCAGTGCTATTTTACTGAAAGGAGTGCTGTCCAGTGACATGGTTATGGGTGACTGCAACACAGATTTTGACATGATTGTTGGTGTCCAGAGTAGTATCCAACATGAACTTGTTGAACCAAGATCTATGAACTGGGCTGAAAACGGTCTGGGCATCCTCCAAAAAAAAATTTTCATGAAAACCATTTTATTTTGAAAGAACAGGTTGAACCATTAATCTGTGTAAACCATTCGTGGGTTGATGGAACCACCTAGCCCAATTAACTTCTTACAAGTGACGTTTTCTATAACATGTTCAGCCAAATTCCCAAATCCTTGGTACGAAATTATCTAGTATCATAGGAAATTAGGACAAGAATTGTCAAATCTTAAGAATTTGTAAAATAAGTTTATTCAGGAGATCACATTTCTTGGATTTTAAAATTCTTGTCAAAATCTTAATTTATTATGACCATGGAACATTAAACTCCATCCTAAAATCAAATAAAAACAGGGGGAAATCATACCTAAAAGAATTAATATAGATCATCTACACATAATGAAGCCTGAAAGTATCATGTCATATTAGTTTGACTAAGTCATTGATTTGTTCATATAGCAGTTGACATGGAGTTGTAATCCATTTAAATCTTCTTAAAACCCTATATAATGCACTTGTTTCCATTTCTATTCTCCATCTTGACAAACTCTCTAGAGCATTTCCATAAAGATTTGAAGTAATAGATGGGGGAATTAGCTAAAGTGTATGCTTTCTGGAAGCCATTAGTGTTTTTCTTTACTGGAATATTTGGCTTAAAGGCGAAGTTAATAGGTCCGCTGGTTACGTGCTGTGGTTTTGAGTGTGGGCTCTTTTGGTTTTTTATTGGTTTGACAAGGAATCTCCAAGGCAGGATCCTACCCCCTCTTTGGTTCTACATTACTGTTTTCAATCTACGGATTATAAATTTCCACAAGCTGTTTGCTAAAAACGTCTTGTCATTTATTCATGTTGATGGAAGTGGGGGTATGGTTTTCTCTATCCATGGACGCAAAAGATGAGAATCTCAAAGATAAAAGTGTGATAAAGATAGATGTTATGAAATTATGCAAAACTAAAAGGCCATAGAAAGGCCAATGTACAAAAAATAGTAAAGGGTTAATTGGTCTCCAGAACATTACACGATAAGCTGCATCAGGGTAAAGAATTTGAATCAAATTTGAATCTTTAAAAGACCCTTATGGTATCTAGAAAGAATTTAGGTATAAATACACAATTGCACAATGAATTATATTATTAACCAATAGAAGTCATTGTACTTTAGCTAGAAGATATTAACAGATTAATCTATATGTTAACAGGTGTTTCATTGGTTCTTTTTACTTGTTATCAATTTAGCCTAAGATAGTAGAATTATACATGAAGACACAAATCCAACTTCATCAATACTAAAGATGGCTCAGAAATAAATACCTGCTGTTAATCACATCAATCTCATGAAGTGTAACACAATGCACAACCTCTTTCCTCTTCTGCAACTCTCCATCAGGACACTGCACGAACTTCGTCTGCGGTCCCATTGCATCGTAGTCCCTCGACCTCGAAAACGATCTCCCAAGCTTAGTAATTTTTCCAGAAGCCTTATCAATGGCAATAACATCCCCACTCTGTACCTTATCCTTTGCCAATGCCTCAATCATCTTAGCCCCAAATCATACACAGTCTCCATCTCCGTGGCCTTCAGAGTCAGCTTCCCGGTCTTCGACGCCGCCCCAGACACCGCCGGGCGGTCAATTTGGATTTCCACAACTTCGCCCTCGATGACTTCGGTCTCTTCTTTGATTCGGACGCCGATTGCTTTGCGAAAAGCTTGCATTAGGGCTTCGGTTTTGGACATCTCGAGAGAGAAGAGTTGGCTGCCAGCGAGCATTGCGAAAGGGGTTTCTTGGCCGAGGGACTTGGACATGCCCATGGCGATGGCGGTTTTGCCGGTGCCGGGTTGGCCGGCGAGGAGGACGGCGCGGCCGGCTATCTTGCCGTCTTTGACCATCTGGACGATGACGCCGGCGGCCTTGCGGGCGGTTGTCTGACCAACCATGCCATCGGAGACGGAGCGGGGCTCGAGGGTTGAGTCGAGGCCGAGGCCCCTGATGTGGGAGTGTGCCCCTATGCGCTCTATTCTGGTTAGGTCTCGAGTTTCCAAGAGTTCCAGCTCTGCCATGGCTAGAGAGAGAGAGAGTACTGGAACTTTCGAGTAAAATTTGGAGGGAAATGGGGTTGCAAAGAGAGGGTTTAGGGTTTTGTTTACATTATTAAGGTCTTCATGCCCAGAGAAGGTGCTGCAGCATCCTTGAGTGGCCCCCAACACTCCACCTTGTTGTATTCTGGAATGTTGGAGTGAAAATATACCCAAGGTTTAAAAGTATGGCTGGTGAAACTGCAGGAGGCACAGACGGACGACCAACAGCACAAGATCATTCCACGGCAGCCGGCAAAACCATCGCACACCCAGAGGATGAAGCCAACGGACAAACAGAGGAAGAAACTGATCTTCTCGAGAGGCATCTCCGGAAAAATGGGCACCCATCAGGTAACAACCCCCGTTTCAGCTCTTTCAAAGAGGCCCTTGCCTCACCCTTCCCTTCAGACGATATCCCTACTCTCTTTCCTCCTGGTACTGTTACTACTAACCCCCTCAGTGAGGAAGTAGACGATCCTCCTGCACCCTTAGATGACTGTGAGCTTCCTTGCATCACCTTTTCTCAGGAAGAACTAACTCGCATTCGCGATCCTTGGAATCAGTCACTTACTGTTAAACTTATGGGTCGCAATGTGAGTTATAGTCTTCTTATGAATAGAATCAACTCACTTTGGAAACCTTCTGGTCCTATCCATGGGATTGACTTAGGTAACCACTACTATCTCATTAAATTCCACCTGGAGTCTGATCTTCACAAAGTTCTCAACGATGGTCCATGGTTTATTGGTGTAAATTTTCTGGCGTTAAAAAAATGGGAACCTGAATTTCACACAAACAGAGCTACTATGTCCACCAGAGTCATCTGGGCTCGACTCCAAGGCCTACCTATAGGTCATGTTTGATTCACTTCACTATTAGTGAAGCATTAATAATCCTATTAAATTAGTGTGGTGTTAACTATTCCACCCTTACCCCATTACTAATAATCCTACAAATTTGTTGGATTAATTATCCATTGGATTAATAATCCTAAACCAAAGTGTCAAAACAAACATAGAATAATTGGGCCCACGGATTAATAATCCCAATCCCATACTTTAATCCCTCCAATCAAACATGCCCATAGAGTATTATGACAGAAGTACTCTGAAAAGATTGGGTAACCTGCTTGGTACACTCCTTAAAATCGACGTTCATACAGAAAATGGCAATAGGGGAAGGTTTGCTAGACTCTGTATTCAAGTGGACTTATCCAAGCCTCTTATCTCCAAGATTAAAGTGGGTTCTTTTATCCAAAAAGTGTCTTATGAAGGAATTACCTCCGTATGTTTTGATTGTGGTCGTATGGGCCATAAAAGGGGTGATTGCAAACTTCCCAACTCTACATCCACATCAGCCCCAATTACCGTTCACACTCCCCATGAACAAGATGATGATTAACCCTTCGGTTCTTGGATGCTTGTTGAGAGGAAGAAACCTTTGAAAAAAAACCTCACCAGAGTTGTTGGTACAAAGGGTGTCCAGAACCAAGGACAAAATCGCGACTCCTTGCATGGAAGATCCAAACATATGCAA